AAGATCTGGGTGGGAATAGGAAAGAGGATGGAAAGGGTTTGCATTCAAAAGGAGATAAAAGTAACAGTAAGATTTTGGTGAAGCCAAAAAAGATGAGTTCAAAAAATGGGCAGTTGGTTCATGTGATGAAGGTTTTTCATGATTGAAGGAGGGTATCTGTGGTGCTGACCTTTGTAATTAATTTAAAAGAGTTTATAAGAGAGAGGTAACATTAAAGGTAAAGTGGAGGTGCTTGATCATCCTCGTTCTAACCGATTTCTTGACTTTTGTTGGAAGGAGTCGGAAGATGGTCTTGAATATCAAATCGACAGTCTTGGTCTGTCTTTTGAACATGAGGTAGGGGAAGAAGGCTTTGAAGCTATGGAGCGACTGAGAACAGTGTTCAGGTCCTTGGGGTTAGGAAGGATGGTTCAAATTCTTTTGACGACACTGAAGAAAGGGACGACTTGGATTCAAATTGCTCGCTTCAAAGGAGGGAGGTGAAAATTGACAAAACTCGTGTTGTTCAGGGTAGGTTAGACTTGGAAGAGGTGGTGAATAAGGAGGTGGAGGTGAGTAAAACCTTGGGGTTATGTTTCCTAGGGGGTGAGGTTTTTAGAGAAGTTGAAGAAAATGGAGGACAATTTTTGAGGAAGAAAGGTTTGGTTATAGGAGGGGGAGGCAGCGGTTTTTGATGGCTTCTTTTTTTGTTTTCTTTTTAGATTGAGGGTTGAGGTGTAATAGGGGGTGTTTGTGGGTTTTGTTGTTTGAAGGTTGTTATTGAGGGTGTATTTTTTCCTTTTCTGTGGGGTGATTTCTTATCACCTCTGTTGTATTTCTTCTCTCTTTCTAATGTTTTTATTTTTTATTTTTTTTTTATTTCTTGTAATCATTTATCTTTATTTTTCTGTATTTGGTAATCCTTTGGATGTTATTGCTGTTCCATTAGTAAGTGCAAGGAGGGAACTGTTGAATAATTAGCCTGCCGATTCAAGTGTGATCTTTAAAGATTTGTGATTTTATCTGAAAATAAATGGCTAAGGCGTGAAATGTGCTTTGGTAATTCCACTTTCTTTTTATCTTGTCTGTATAGGGTTCAATATTTCATTTGGTTATTTGAACATAATTAAGTTTTTCACTGTTCTTTTAATAAAAAAATACAAAGGATAAAAAGAACTGAATAGTTTGCTACTTTTCTTGATAAACGACCAGACTGCATTCTGGTATTATGCTAATCGCTACTTGTTCTTTGTTACAAAGAGAATAAACTGCTTTGCTTTGAACCGTTTGAAATGCTGGCCTCCCTAGGTTTTGGGAGTTCTTATCTTTTGTTTATAAATGCTTTTTCCTTCTTGAAATTTTAGCCCTATTTCAGAATTCCACACATTTTGATAGATGTTGAAATTAGATAAGAAATCTTGACTTTGATGTTGGACATCAATCTGATCCCTCTCAAAACCAATCGATGCTCTATTTGTTACATGTCATGTCTATTCTTCATTTTTGTTTTCGTGTATTTACTGGACATTTTCTTTAGCATTGGATGTTGATTGGGCACTGCTTGAGATTCTTCCACCTAATTGATGGAACCAGTTCCTAACAAGAAAGATCAATGAAAACCAGGCAATTTGAAATAAATTTCAAAGACCAGTAAAGGAAAAACATTAGGATACAAGGGAAATGTGGCAGTCAGTTTGATCAATGTCCAATGCTGATAAGATTGATCATAGCTGAAAGGCCTGGTATGTATTTGAAAAATTGAAAAATAATAAAGGGTAAGATAGACATATCAAACAATGGGGTACATTCTAGTATATTTCCTAGAACTTGGGGGGTAGTTTAACTATTTTACCCTATTGTGAGAATCAAGCTGCTATGAACGTAACACATAATCCTGTCCAACATGATCACACAAAACATATTGACTAGGGAGTTCCCAAACTGAAGCTCAATAGTAATCTATGCAATCTGGGCATGATAGATATCTATGTTCAGTTTAAGGGGAAGTGTTGAGAATATGTTTTCTTTGTAAGGGCTTATTTGTCTATTTACATTTTTGTATTTGGGTGCCTATCCAAGGGCATATATGTAAATTTTGTATTAAATATAAATGCAACTTTGTGGGAGTGAACAATAACTCACCCATTCATTCCAATGTCTTTCTCATCCTTCTCTTCTTCTTCCTCTCATTCTTCTTCTCCTCTCTTCATCTTCTTTCACTTTACTGAGTTTCACAACTATATAAAAATTAGGGTAAAAGACTTAAGCATACCCTAAGTTTTCATAAATTGACTTAAACGCATCCTTAGTTTTCCAAATAGACTTAAATATACCTTGTGACTCTTTTACCCTTAATTTTCTTTTAAATTTTTGAAACATACCCTATGTTTTTCAAATTCATGTAGGTGGTAGGGATAACAGGCTCCCACCCCCTCTCTCTCCTCTCATGTGGGTGGTGGTTGGAGTTTACTGCAAAATTGTAAACTCCAGATCTCAATCTTAATGCTTTAAAGCTCTACTAAACTAATTTTTCAATCTTAACAAACTGTTTATGTAATTATGGTTTAACTCTTGTGTGAATTGCAAAGCTTTGTTTTACCATTTTTGCCTTGCATTTTTGGGTGAGATCAAGTCATCGGTGTATTGCAGCTCTGAACTAGTTCCCTTGAGTCTTGACCCTATCAATAACATGCTTCTGGAGGGAGAGAGAGAGAGATGCACCAAGAGGGAAAGCGAGTTCCACCCTCCACCATACTATGGTGGCTAGCAGATTAGTTTTTACAAGATGGATCTTTGAAAGATTTAAACTTCAACTATGCCCTAAATGCGAAGGACACAAACATGTTCAAACCAGTTATGTACTTTATTACTTGGATCATGATTCAGTTACATGAAAACAGGCCATTAACTCCAACATCACTAGAGGTTGAAAGAAATGGTGGAAAGGTCTTTACCAAATAGGAAACCAAGGCTTCCTGAATCATGGTTATTCTGCATTCATTTTGGGAAAGAGGATGTATAATGGTGGGTTAGCTTTTGATTCCCTTACACATCCTAACTAATCCAATGTGGTATCTCTAATTGATTGGACCAATATAAAACAGAGGGAGGAGCAATCGTTATGAGCTAAAATTTTCCCAGTTAGGTTTCATATGTTAAATGGAATAGATAGGGCAAACTAGGATTTTATGAATTTTAAATCAATTCATATGTGACAGTTCAATGATGGAGGGCATGTTTAAGTCCAATGGGGTCATCCCACAAGTTACACATAAGTCTATGTGAAAAACTCAGGGTATGTTCAAGTCTTTTACCCCAAAAGTTAAATTTAAAGTATACTTGTTAGAGCCTTTCAATCTTACTTTTTTCAAGCTGACCCTGATAGATCCTTGTCTCGTAGTGTATTACCTATTTAAGGTTCCAAAAATCTAATGAATTGTACTGAACTATTCATATGTGCCAAATTTTAAGGTTAGTTTAAAAGCATTTCACCAAGGCTTTCAGTGACCAGACATGCACTTGTTCAATATTGGTATGATTGGCTTATGTGCACTAATTGAACAGAAGTATAGGGAAATATTTTTTTATTGTGTTTGACCATTACTATTTCTTGTCATATGTAGTTATTCCTAATGATCATCAATTTTAGGTGAATTAGAAAAATAGTTGTCATGGGATGGGGTTGGGTAGTGAAAACTAGCCTAACAACAAGCAATTTGTTCTGTATATACATTCTATTTTATTATGATTAATAAAGTTTATCTTCTACCAATCAAACAAGGTGAACTAGAATGAAAATGCTTGTAGCCTCTGTGGTTCCTATCTCTCCTCAAATTGCCTCACTTCCCTTCCTTTTGCTATTGTAATTTTGTAGTTCTTTTTGTCATAATGATTCATTATAGTTTAGTATCTGGAGAAATTCATTATAAATTATCCAGTTCCTTATGTTAGTTTCTTCCCAAGGTCTTCAGCCAGTCAATCTTGGTTTTCATTTTAATGTGGTTTATAACTTTTGAATAATCTAAAAGAGCTTCACTCTACTTATGAGGTGCTCTTACAGATACAAGGAATTATATTATTTGGTTGGGTAAATTGCCACTATTTATTTTTTCTTGATAATATAGACGTAAGGTCTATGGTGACACATCAGGGCCACTGGTTGCATGGGGCATAATCCCGATGATTGTTCACTCTATTTGGGGGAAAATAAAATGAAACAAAAAGTGTGGACATGGTCCATCATGAAAAATAGCATAGAAATAGTGTTTATATTAGAAAATGTATATAATTTATATGATTGTCACATAAAAGACAACTCAAAGATGTGAAAAATGCTTTACTCAAGATTTATGTCATTACTTATTTGCATATTCTTTTTATACATGCCATTGGCCAATATTAAAAGATAAAAAATCTGTTGCTTGGATTTCAATAGAATGTTATGAAGAAGTGGAGTAAAACCAGGTTGAAGTATAGTGATAAAGTGACTTCAAATCTTTAGATGCCATTTAACAAATTAAAGAAAATTAGAAAAAGTGAAATTTCGATATTTAGCTCTCAATCTTTAGATGAAAGCCTGCTTCTCAGTTACTGTTTGAGGACCATTAGTATAAGAGGCTTTCATATGTTAGGCATGAGCCTCTAAAGTTTATCATCAAGCCCCTCACACACCTTCGATGACACCGATTTGGATGTTGGTCTTTATTTTAGTTTCTTAATTCAAATTAAAGAAAAATTTTGTGAATTGTCAATATCTTCCACTACAGTTATGGGGTATCATATCCATTTTAGATGGTATTTACTTCACACATTGGTACATGCCATGTCCTAATTGTGGAGACCCAGCCTTGTACATTTGGCTTTGTGTTTCTTCAGGAATTTCCACACCGACAAGCACAGAGATGCAACAGAATGAATAAACAGAAGAGTGATTTTTTAATTTTTTTTTGAATTAAAGAAGGAAAAAAAAAAGGTTCTATGGGTACGGGATTAAACTCACATCCATTTTATTTTTCTTGCAGATCTGTTGAGAGAAGGATATTATTTTGGACAGTATTTGAGAAAGGAATGCCATGACAGAAAGTGTCAGGAAACGCAATTCCAAGTGGGATCTGAAAGCAGAAACCGATCAATCAACTGAAATCAGACAAGATAATGTTTGGTCTAGTAAAGGAGGTGATTCAATTATTGATAAAGAATTAAAACCAGGGTGGGGTTCTACAAAGGATGCTGACAATCATGATCCAAAATGGTCTAATGTTGAAGACAGAAATTCCTCGAAACCTAAAGACATTTCTGCATGGTCAACTTGGGAACCCTTATCTGGGAACAGAGGTTCAGAGAAGGATGATATGAATAGACTCAATGGAGAAGATACTAGTGAGATTCCACAAACCATGACGGGGTGGGGTGGGGATCCAACTTACAGCTCAAATATGTCACCTGGTCTTGATGCTTGGAGACAACAAAATCGCAGCCACTCCCCCAAAAGTGGTCGGAGCAGGGCACACAGGTCTGTGTATCTAAGATCTTGGAATGTAGACTTAATTTGAACTCCACTCCTACATATTATCCAGTTTTTAGATCTCAAAATTACTTTTCGTTATCTGTTTTCTTTTTGTGATTATTCTTTTGATGGTATAGTTTCTTAAACTTTTTGTTTGACTTTTGCTTTTCAATATTATATTGCAGGAGTAGAAGTAGGAGCCCACCTTATGGGTTCAAGCGTGAAGCAGAGGGTTGGGTTGACAGAAGTAGACGTGGATCTGGAGTATCAGCCCGGCCATGTAATGATTTTGCTGCAGGGAGGTGCCGGAGAGGTAGTCACTGCAGGTTTCTTCATCAGGATAAGCAGGATTATGAGCATAAAAGGCATATGGAAAGTGCTTCCTTAGAAAACTGGAGAGGTAGACGTGACGGTAATAGACATTCAGAGAGTGGTCCTGTTGATAGCTTGGAAAGTAGGCATGAGAAAGAAGGATCTTTTAGGTCTGTAAACACTGAGGAAGCAAGGGATGATTCATGGGATAAGTTTCCCCATGGATATCGGAGTCACTTGGATGGAGACCGGGAGAAGCATGAATCCCAGAGGAACAATAGATCTACCAATATCTGCAATGATTTTCTGAGAGGTAGGTGTTACAGGGGATCATCATGCAAGTATGTCCATGATGGTACTTCATCTGATGAACATGGTGGATGGTCCACAAAAGGAATGGCAAGAGAAAGAACCCATGACAGGAAGGATGCATATTCATCCTTTGATCATGAACATAGGCGTGAGGCCCGCAGAAATAGTGATATTCCTTGCAAGTATTTTGCAGCAGGCAATTGCCGTAATGGGGAGTATTGCAGGTTCTCTCATGATGGTGCAGGGCAATGCAGTCCTAAAGGCAGGCCTCAGGAAGATAAGTGGAGCAATGATGTGGATAATGAGATTAAACCATGGGGAGGTTCACAGTGGAGTGATGCAGTAGCTGTCTCTTCTGACATTGCAAAATCCAACCAGTGGAGAGCTGAGAACAGTGATGAAAAAACAGTTATTCCTGAACCAATGACTTCTAACAGGTCTACATATGATGGATGGGGCCATAATTTGGATAATGAAAACAAAATGTGGGGAGGTCCTAAGGTGAGTGATAAAGAAACTGACAAGGGTGTACAAAAATCCTCTATGTGGAATGAGGATGATGTTGCAAGAATGGGTAATCCAGAATCTAGGGCTACTAAAAGGTCCACAGATGATAGGTGGGGTCTTAGTTTGGATAAGAAGAGCAGGACATGTGCTCCAACATGGAATGGTAATGAAGCTGACAGGGATGTACATAAATCCCCTCAGTGGAATGAAAACAACAGTAGAATTATGAGCATTTCTGAATCATGTGGTAACAGAAAATCGCTTGATGGTACAAATGCAGTTGATAGGGAGCGTTATCTTTCTCAAACGTCACAATCTCAAATTGCAAATGAGATCAATTTACCATATCATGAACAAAATGTGACTCAAGATGTTTCACTGGGACAGCAGCAACTGCAGCATGTGGCAGTAACCATGCAGAAAGTGGTATCTGAAAATTCTTACATTCAACAACATCCCACCTCAAGAGGGGATGCTGCTACTGCACTTCCCTGTAAAGATAGCAATAGAGTTGGAAACACTGTTATGTCACAAAATGAGGTTATCTTCTCTGCAAATATTTTACCAATGGTTTCTGTGCCTGGACAAAGCTTCAATCAAAGTGGTCAGAGTATAGGCACTCAACTTCATTCAAACTTCAATATGAATGGACAGAATCAACAGATACTCCTACCACAGCCTCCAAATAGTCATAACTTTAACCTGGGTGATCAGTTACAACAAGAAGCCTCTGGACCTCCTTCAAACCCACATTGCCAACCACCATTTCATCTGGGTGAATCTATCCATAAACAGGGTATAGCAGATGCCCAAATGTCCCAAGTAACCTCTGGAATATCGCTGACAAATAATGTAGTAACTAGTGAGCAGGTTGCTCAAATAACAAATCTTTCAGCATCATTGGCACAGATATTTGGAAGTGGACAGCAGCTTCCACAGATTTATGCTTCTCTAAACCCTTCAAATGTGCCTTCCCACTCTACAGGATCAGTTGCGCCAGTTACCATCTTTCCCAATCAGCATGATCAAACCAACTGGTCTCAAAAGCCATATGATCCTATAGGCGATAGTGTTGAGTCCAAAAAGCATGACAACGGTGACCGAGCCTTGATGTTTTCATCTAACCCTATTGAGCAGAAAAACTCTGCAATTGGAGAATCACCAGCACCATTGAAAAACAATACTTCATCTATTACTGATGGTCCCAACAGTGGTGATACTTGTAAGAATGGAATTTTGGAGGAAATACTTCATCATGGAAGTCATGAATTGAAACAGCAGCCAGTTGCTGATTCTGAGACCAGGGAAACCAATAATCTCACAGTTGAGAAGAGCAAGAAAGAGCAAGAAAATGATCATCAAGAGGATGTGAATGCAGATGGTCAGGCTGATGAAGAGGGTAAGCGAAATAAGGAAGCGAAGGGGATGCGCATGTTCAAATTCGCACTGGTTGAGTTTGTTAAGGAGATTCTAAAGCCCACTTGGAAGGAAGGTCAAATGAGCAAGGAAGCTCACAAGACCATAGTAAAAAAAGTGGTGGATAAAGTGACCAGTACCCTTCAAGGAGCTCAAGTTCCTCAGACACAAGAGAAAATTGATCATTATTTGTCATATTCTAAAGCTAAGCTTACTAAACTTGTACAGGTGTGTCTTAATTTTTATCATCTTGTAACAACCCTAATTAGATGTAGACTATGCTTAGAACTGATGATGTCAGGTTATGATCTAACTTGTGTCTATTGTCTCTCTGCAGGCATATGTGGAAAAATATCTGAAGACTTAGACCAAGGTTGAAATGTTCATGTTCTTCTATCTCCCTTTTTTTCTTTTCTGTTTCTTTTTAATACCAAATATTAGAAGCTGTCAAATCCTTTAATCCAATATGGGAACCCTTGTACATTTAGGTTTTAGCCTCTGTATGTACTACATACAGCTATGGTTTTTGGTATCTTTCCAGATTTTCTCTTGAATGGTGGTCCAGGTTAGCCATGCGTTTCCCCATGTAGATATAATTTAGTCGGTGGAGATTTTGACTAATTTGATGGGAATGTTTTCAAATCATGTGCATTCATTAGTTCAATAAATTTGTGAACATGTCATGGGTTTTCATTACATGTCTTGTTGTCCTTTAGTTTCTTTTTTTTTTAAAAAAAAAAAAATTTATGCATGCCTATGGGGTTCTTTTTTATGCTTTCCTTAGTTACTCTTGGAAGCTGGAGGATTTGCTAGCCATGATTTTTATGGTACTGCTTATAGTAACACCTTATTCACTCAAGAAAGTTGATTTGATATTACACCAATCTGGATATCTGTTTTGCTGAATGGAGGTTGCCAAAAATGTACTGCTGAACACTGTTTATATTGCTTCTTTGTGCCATCCACAGCAATATGGTATTTTCTTGTTTATCAAACTAAGTTTTTTTTTTTTTTTATTTTTTTAATTTTTTTTTATCCCTTCTATTTGGGATTTTCCAAGGGCATTTTTTTTCTGCATTTGAATCTAGTGCCTGCTGCAAAGGCTTCTGATACTCTCCCGGGTAACTCCTCTGACACCTACTTGACAATTCCAGTTGTCTTGGCCTCTTGGGGACTTCAGTTCATTTTTTCATTGTTGGTATTTTGCATTATGCATCCTTTTGTCCCTTCTAGAAAAGTTCTTTTTTTTTATTTGTTTATTTTTAGAAAAGCAAATTGATCTCTTAGTTGTTTTTCCTTCTCATGTTTTTCCTGTCTGTACATTTTGAGGTTTCCCAATTCCCAGTGGACTTCTCATGAGTTATTAGCATTAGCAATGCCTGCTGTAAATCTATAAAATTTGCTCGAGTGATGTAGCTACAGAGACGAAGTCTTGTGAAAATTATAGTTGTTGTGTACTTGTGTTGGTCAAGCTTGTGGAAGTTGATTCTCCCATTGGTGTAATCTGTAACTTGTAAAGTGCATCTGTGCATTGGTTCTCCCATTTCTCGAGGCATTCTCACAAGGGTTCTGCTGTTTCTGCCTTTGGCAGATGTGGAATTAATTTTGGGCTTCAATCTGCTCATAATAGAAATTTTAGATCACATAGCTATGTATGGATGGTATCAATCGCCTAAACAACCGCAAGCAACTAGAGCCCATTGCATAAAATCCAAAAAAACTTCATTGGGCTCCGTTTGGCTGCTGCAGTAGGAAGGAAAATGTATTGTTTCCCGAAAATTGCCACTTTATCATGTTTTCGAGAAAGAGGAGTTTAGCAAAATTTCATTGCTTCTATTCTTGTATTTTTGGAAGTTATTTTCCTAGGCGAATGGTTCTCATTTTCCTGGTCAAACATCAGGAAAAATAAGGAAAATGGTTTGTTTCCCACTTTTTTTTATTAAATATCATTTAAAAAAATAATTTGTTTTCTTTGTTTTATACAATCTCAAATAGAAAATATAGATCCATTAGACAAAAATACGTCTGATGAAAAAGATAGTTGCTATCTACTCTAATAATAAATCGCTTCAATGGTCTTTTGGACTAGTCACTCCGGTGAGTACTGGGTAGTCATTATTGTTGGAACGGTCGTTAATGAATGAAATGTCAGCCCTTTCCTGTCCACAGCTTCTGTATTTGTGTGTGTTTTAGGGCATCATTCTTTGCTTGTCCCTTGCCATATGTTTGGTTTGACGGAAAAGGTAATAAAAGGAAGGGAAACGTAAAGAAACTTATACAAGATTCTTAAAGGTTTCTTTACCTTTTCCTTCCTTTTCCTACCTTTTTCTTCAAACTAAACATAGCCTTAAAGTCTGTATTTCGTTCCTTGTCTTCTCTTCCTCGAGTAAATTTCCCCTTCATTGAACTAAACGACTTTTCTATTCTATCTGGTACACGTCCATTGGGGATTATCAATTCATCATGTCTAGAGCTGTATCCTGTATCCTTACAATTCGGATTCAGTCCTCAAAAAACTGTGTTCACAGTCTTCACAGCCCTTGCAGCTGTGCATTAGGAATATCGATCCCCATAAATGAATTGGGTTCTGCTTCTCACAGAGTGCACCTTACACCTACCTCACAGACACATCCCACCATGTCTGGGAACATCTCTCATGAATAATAACACATAGTACCGAAAATGTTTCTGATGCATGGAGGATGTGCCTGTAAAATTGGTGTGAGGTGTGCTGTGTGAGAAGTAATTCTGTTTCATTGAGATGTTTTCAATGCACTGTTGCAAAAAGCGTTTTGTGAGGGGTAAATCTAAATTTCTACTATGTAGGATTTTGGCTAATTTATTCTGTTTCATCATTCTGTCATATTCATTGTTAAATTATAAGCCCCTGAATAATTTATTACTACAACTCACGTCTTTATTAGTCTGCCCCCAGCTCTTCTAATCACTCAGGCTTCAATTTGTAATGGGAAATTTAGGCCCTTTTTGGCTTGCAGCAATAGGGGTCTGGAATCGGAATCGAAATGGGCTATTCCGATTTTAACTACTTGGTAGGGTGGAATTGGAATCCCATTCTCATTCCTGTTGGAATGACATTCTCCTATTTGAGGGAATGGCCGTTCTCTGCCTCTCACTTGGGAATGAAATCTCATTCCTGCTAATTCCAATTCTTATCTTCATTGCTGTCTGAACCAAACAGACTATGGGAATGGATTATTCTGATTCCAATTCCGATTCTATCTGTGAACCAAACAGGCCCTTAAACTACAATTGAAGCTGGTGGGTAAAAAACTCGCTCCAGGTCTCCCCCTCTATCTCGTCTTATGGGAGTTTTTTTGACTGAGAAGTTGAAGTTTTGGATGGGTAACATCACTTGGGAAAAGATCTAGGTGTCCAGACAGATGGCTGGAGTGTAAGTTTGTTAAAAAGCTGATGGGTGATGAACATGTATGATGAAGAAAGAGTGGTCCCCCCTCGGAGGCACGAAACCGATTGGGCACTTGCGCCATAGATCATCTAGTACAAGATTAGAACTGGGATCCATGGTTATGAAAACCCAATTGGACCGGACGGTTGGATTTGTTGACGTAGGGGCTCGTCAGGCAATCAGTTTCTTCTCATTCTAAAACCGTTCCTGAGCAAAAAGCCGTTGATTTGGTTAGTGATCTGTTGATCTGGGTGGTCGAATCATTGATTCATTGATTGGAACAATGGTTTTTGATCGCTTCTTATTTTAATTATTATTTTTCTAAGTTTTTATTTTTTATTTAAATCTGAACAAGTCGTCTATTTGAACTGACAGGCAAGCCTTTTGACTCAGGAACTAGTCCCTAAAACGGTTTCGTATCTGGTCCAGTTTTTAAAGCTTTGCTGGGATCACAAGAGTCATCACCTTGGAAAAATTGAAATGGGTAGGGGTGGATTCAAGCTGAGCCGAGCCGAATACTTGGCTATTCGAGCTTGATTCGAGTTAGCTCAATTTGAGATAGAGACTTGAGCTCAAGCTTAGCTCGATTCAAAGCTTGCAAGTTTGAGCTCAGCTTAGCTCAAGCTCGACTGCAAGCCAAGTTTTTTTCTAAAAAATAAAAATTATACATATAAAAATATTTTTTATTTTACATACAAAAAATTAAGAATTATAAAAATTATTTATTATTACATATATAAAAAATAAAAAATATACATATAAAAATATTTTTATTTTACATACAAAAAAATAAGAATTATAAAAATTATTTACTATTATACATAAAAAATAAAAATATTATATATAATAAAAGTTATTTATTATATATATTTATATTTATATGTATATGCATGTATATAATAAAAGAATATTTATTTGTTATACTAGCCTTGCGAGACGAGCTTCACTAGGCTCAAGCTTGGCTCGATTAGCAAACGAGCCTATGTATCAGGCTCGAGCTTGGCTCGAAGCTCAATTTAAACTGAGCAGAGCTTTCCACGAGTCGAGCACGAATAGCTCGTGAGAAGCTCGACTCGTGGCCACCCCTAATCGTGGGGGACAAAGGGAATATTTCCTTGAGATATTTTATGGCCATAAAGAGTCGGGAAACTTTTGAGTAAACTGTCATTTTTAATGAAACTCTAAAGAAGGCTAGAAGAAGTATCAAGAACTCTAAGTCTTGAAAGTGTTAGGGTCGTGTCTCAACTGGTCGAAGTTATCACGTGAATCTTGTCATGTTCTGGGCCCAATCAACTTCTTTGGACTACGTCAGGGAATCAGTATGCCACTCACTAAGGCTGGTAGATGACCCTGCAACCAAGAACCTCGGATGAAGCATAAACTATTATGGATAGGAACCCTCATCGGGGAAAGCAGAGCCTCCTGAAGACCTCGGTGGATGGTCTCTTCCCTTGAACCCCACAAGGAGCGTGTCCGAGTGCACCATGACATTCGGCTATTTAAAGGCATCTCCCCCCAAGGTTTGCTCTTCAAACTCTTTCTCACTACTTACTCTCTTACCCTCTTTCTCTCATATATACCTCTTCCTCGGTTTGGACTAGCTAGTTCGCCCTTAATAGCTTGGCCCGATCGATCTCATCGCCTTATATTGACTTGAGTGTCAGAGTGCCTCCCTTGGGGACCTCACCCTTGGGCTTTTGACATAAATTTCTTTGTAGATCTGCTCAGTGCATCACTTACACCCTTCCACCTCAGCTCGTCCAAGTTGGCAGGATCATCTACTATGTATTCGCATTGGTTCCAGCTTGAATCAAATAGCATTAGAGAGGTTCACAAAAGGAAGGAAAAAGAAAAAGCTTTTAATCTAAAGAAAAGAATCTGTTTACAACCGCTAGGAAGAAGATAAAGAGGTGCTAATAAAACTTCATTCAAATTGATACCTTGACTCTCATTGTGTCAAGGCTCTGTTCTTTCCAAAGTTTCTTCTTCCTTATCTTCTAAGATGTAAATAGAAAGGAATACTAATATGTGCATCAAATAACTATTAGAGCAATGCTTGTATTGGTTTACCAAAAGAAGGGGATCTTTGGAAAAAAATACTAATACATATATTTTTATATATATTTAAACAATTTCATCTACATGTCTCAGAATCATTTACCTTTTCTCTCTTTTTCTCTCCCCAGATTTTCTATTCACTTTTCCTACCCACTCTCTACCTGCAGTGAATTAGAGTCATACATCTCTCAATTCATAATAGTGTGGCTCC